GTTTAAAGACTAGTCAGAACAGTATTTGAGATAGGCTGATTTTTAAACTAGACTATTTTAGATTCTATAGGCGTTGCCATCTATTTATTGCTTTGTTTTTTGATTCCTATTAAACATGATACTAGTATTAGCTGATTTTAATTTCCTATTGACATGACATCGGTATTGCTGATTTTAGTTCCTATAGACAAGTTCTCTAAATGCAAAGTGACATGCAGGACTACGTGAGTCCTATAGGCCATATTATCTAAGTGCTAATTAATTGTACAGAAAAAAACAAAGTCCTATAGCATGTCCTCTAAATACTGAGTTAATCAAATCAGAAAAACCACATCCTATAAGGCATGTTCTCTACCCTCTAATAGTTAAGCATGATAATTACCATCCCTTTCACTAACCATCCCCAAATGCTTTTATTACAAATTAGTACAGACCAATTACTGAATTACATCAAAAAAAATATAAAATAATAAGTTTACAACCATAGGAACCGGCGTTCTGACTCCTTTCTGATTATGGAACCAAAACACCTCAAATGCCACTTTTCGACAGCCTTTCTCCAGACCTGGTGTGTTAAAGTCCCTAAGGGTCTCAAGGGTTCTTGGGTAGTGCTTACACCCAAGTTTGCATAACCGGATAGAGATGAGTGCGGTGTGGAAGGGCCACCTTATGGTAGTCCAAGTTCAGAGGAGCTCATGGGTCCCAAGGCAAGGCTCACCAAAGAGGGGGAAGAACCTAAGTCTAAGAATAATTAGTGGAAGTGCAGGAACGAAATTTAAAAACTGATCCGGGAATAGAGAGGTGTAAGAGTAATGGGTAAAATAGTCAGTAGTAGTAGTAGTAGTAGTAAAGCACAGGACATTCAGCATTTTTTTTATATACAAGGGGTCAAGGGGTTTGGGAATACATTTGCGGGGAGCATATGTCCTTAGGCAGGGATCAGGTTTGGGCATGCACAGCAATAGATGGTGCTGGCATTGCCATAAACGAGCCAGAGAACACAAAACACATAAGGAGGGATATGGAGGTTATGACCCCAAGGGGGTCAGGTATGGGCATGCACAAACAATGTCTAAATTGCTGACATTCCCCAACCACCAAGGAATTCAAAACACATAGGGGATTATTGGGGGTTTGGACTCTTAAAGTCATATAAGTGACTGACAGGAATTCATACATAAGAAAGCATTAATTCAGGAAGAGAGAAAGGCGGGCCAGATTATAACATGATTAGTAATAGAACTTGATTAAACACAAGCAAGAAGCAGGCCAAGAGTGAAAGGAAATTGTAAAGAAAATATTATTGTTGTTGATGCTTGGAAATTAGTTAGAACATACAGTAAAGAAGCCAAATGCAGAAGAAAAAAGTAAGCAAGTTTCCCACAGCCTAGACTTGCTTTTAGCCCGGCTAGGTAAGGATAGCAACACAAGTAGTAACATAGGAAAAGAGAAAGACGTTTTTTAGTGGAGTGTGCTGTTCTAAACCAATTGTTTTTATTCCTTGTGTTCGTTGTCTTTGAAAAGAAGGAGGGTCTGCAGGTGTATTTATAGCCTTTTGAAAAATGAGTGAAGGAAAGGTAATAATGTAAAATTTAAGTAGAAAATATGGAAACAATCAATAGTTCAGAATCAATTATACAAACTCTAATTAAAGGAATCTTGTTTAATAGGATTTCAAATGAGGAAGGAAATCAATTTAGAGACAGCCCTGATTTATTGACAAGTAAAAGAAGTAGTAAGAAACATTAAGGTAGCAATCGAGTCTAAGTAAAGAATATACTTATTTGGGAATAGATTCTGCAAGGTAAATATGGTTTACAACAATTGGAAAAAAATCAAATCAATTTTTGAACGGGCGAGTGAAATCAGGGGTTCATAGAAGAAGAGCTTTGAAATTAGTTCACACGATAGGGTCAGTCAAAAGAAGAACATGCTTCTGCACTTTAAGTATATAAAACAGAGTGACAGAAAATATCAACATGCAGGCCAAGCATATCGGCAAAAAGAGATAATCACAAGCGTTGTAATAGTGCAGAAAAAAACCAAGGTTCACTTAGTTAAAGCAAAACATTTTGAAGCATAGTAATCAAGTAGGTCAAGTCATATTGACATCAACAGAAGTATCAGAACATGCAAAGGTCTCACATAGCAGGTAGGGAAACCCTTTGTAAAGTTAGGGTTTCAAACCCTAGTCGAGTTGAAAGATCATAAAAAAAAGATCAGATAAGAGAGAGTGTTTAAAACAAAAGCTTCAGTCGAGTCACCAATACCTTTCAAAACAAGCATTTCACACCCCAAAGACCTAGGGCTTCAACAAAAAAATCGAGTTTTAAAGATGGATAAACAAATAAAATCAAACAAGTACTAGCAAACGTTTTTAGGAATTCGAATGAGACCACAAAGAGTTAGGGTTTTCAACATGCAAAACTCAGATAGGAGAACAACATGAAACCAAAAACATTAGCAAAATCAGAAACATGTTAAAAATTAGAGAAAGAATTTTGAAAAGAAAAAACTTTGAAGGAAAAAACCCTAATCGGAAAGTGAAGAGTCATTTTGAAAGAGAGGTCAAAGGAAATTTCGAGAAGCACTTTAAAAAGCTCATTGGCAAAGCATAGATCTAAGGTTAGATCTGGAAAGAAAATCTGTAAAAAGTCTTTAGAGAAATTCAGGTTTTCAGAAAAACCCAGAAAGCAATGACAAAGGCCTGAAAGTTACCGATCTAACCAAGGAATAGAGTTAAGGGTCTGCGACTCGAATGCCATGGCTGGCCGGAGAAAGGTCATTCAGCACGGACTAGACCAAATCCCCCTTCAACAGTTCTAGTCATGAGACCACCAGAACCAAACACATAGAAAGCCAAAAAGGCTGTACATGCTCTTAGATGAACCTTGGAAGGCATGGATGAGGGTGGTATTTTAGGGTGCGGCGGGGCTAGGTTTGGGTTGGTGTTGCAGAGAGTGGTTTGAGAGGAATGGGGATTCTAAGGCAGCCCGGTAAAGTGGAGAAAAAATGATGGGTTTTGGGTCGTTTGGAATTAATTAAGGCTAAGGGCTAGTATTGGCCGTTGATTCTGGAAATGATCAAACGGCCTAGATAAGACAGGTAAGGTGGGGCGGTTTATGAAAACTGGGGTTTTGGGTCTTGGTCGATGGGTTCAATTGGGTCGAGAATTGGGTTAAAATTGGGGTAGATTTAGGCGATGATTGAAAATGAATTTGGCTATTATTTAATAGCCAATTTCCCCTTTTTAAAATATAAAAATAATAAATTGATTTCTGAAAATAAATTAAAGGTACTAAAATGATTTATGACATATAATTAAACCATTTAAAAATATCAGAATATCCTTTGTAAAATTGTAAACGTAATTAAATCGCTAAATGAGGCTAATATTGCAATTATGCAATTTAGCTTTTAAAAATTACTAAGGTTAAAATTTGTAAAGACATCAAAAATCATACTGGCTTATATTTAGCATAGATATAAAAGACGACAAGTGGAATCACCCAAAAATGATAATTTTTGAAACACTTATTGGATTTTTATGGCGATAAAATAGGGGATAAATTAATTTAAAAATCATTTTAACATTAAGAAAAATAATTAAAACACTCTGGATATACTTATATATTGCATACATATGCCATTTTTGAAGGTACTTTGCATAATAAAATATATAGGAAAATTTTGGGTATCAACAGTCGTACAATTGGTTTTGTTGAAGTCTTAAGTTAGAAAATATCTTGAGTTCAATTCTACTTTGATCACAATTTTTAAGCAACAATGCTTCTCTCAGATAACTTGAAAAAGAAAAACTTGCTAGTTGGGGTTTGAACCCTTTAACTTGTTTAGAAGCAAAATCAAGCCACATAACCAACACACCAAGACACAATTTATGTCATGTGGTATTATTTTTTTTAGCGCTTACTTATACATTTTCGTTACAATATTTCATACATATATTTAGTAAAAATTTCAACAAGCGGTTGTAGCATGACAGAGCTTCGGTAAGCGTGCATCCGACCCGCTTTTAAGTGTGAATATTGACATGATTTGTATTTTATTATCTGATACATGTTTTGAAGTATTCTAAATCTTATAAATCCTAATAGTACTTGCTTCCCTGCAAACTAAAATTTCTAGTTATGGCCTATTTTGTAAGGGGAAAAATTGTTTATATACTCATATAATATGGTGCTTGTATCAAAATTGTATCTATTTATATGGTTAACTAAAAATTAAGTGTTATATATATAATTAACTATGTTCATGATATTTAAACTGTATGAAATGATAATTTCCAATTTGATGTTAAATATATGAAACAGTCATCAATCTTGATGCGACACCAAAAATTGGTAAAATAACAAAAAAAGAGATATAAAAAATAAAAGCATTGGTAAATGCACTAGGAATAATTGAAAATCATGTCCTATCTTCTCCGACAACTTGAATTAACCAAATACAAATGGAAAATAACTAAAAGATATTTCATAATTTTCAACGACAGCTCACAAACTACCAAAGAATTCAGAATTAAACAGCGTAGAAATTAAAAATAAAATAATGGTGAAAATTTAAAAAAGATTAATTATTCATCCATTTGCAAATTAAGGGATATTATTAATAAGAGAGTACCCAAATCTATTAATCTTATAATAGCCAAATCACCACTGGTCCCGGTTCTGAAATTGACTTGACCATTACCATAATTTTTAGAGATAAATTTTGAAAATCTTTTTTAACAAATGGAGAGTACAGTTCACCCACTATGATTAATAAAATATTAAAATTTACTTGCCTTATAACATGTAACACTATAAAAATAAACTGGATTCATATCTATGAACTACCAAAATGAAAAAATCAAAGGCATCAATATGTTGAAAAAACCTCTATAAATACTAGGACTTTCTGCATTAACAAAGTTCATCTCCACATTAGTAACTCTAGGCCTAGTAATAAATACTAGTTAATATATCATCATTATCCTTAAGATGCAGTACATAGAATGGATTAAGGGTCACAGAAAGTGCTCGTCTCGCAAAGATAGAAAAATCAGAATAATCGCAAGTGGACTTTCTCAAAAATGCCGAAATTGTTCTTCACAGCACACAGCAAACGAGCTTTCTGTTATGACTGATGCTGAAGTTGGCATCATCGTGTGTCCGCAAGGTAATTACAAAACTAATTACATTTTTTTCCATATATATATATATATACACATGATATACCATCAACAAATATAATTTTTTAAGCATAAACGTACATGCATCATCATAACTAAACATGCGAATCCAAGATCTTGAACATGATTATTAATTTCACGTAAAATTAAAGAATCATAAAAATTACTTGGTGTGGGAGGCGTTATAATAGTAGATAAACCGTATTTTTTTCCTTTTTCCTATTTTAAATTACTGATTTCTCTCCTCTTGCTCTATAGGTAGCAAGCCTTACTCTTTCGGTCATGCAGATGTACATGAAACTATTAACAAATATGTTGGTGAAGAAAGGCCTTCATCACCATCATCAGCAACCATTGATGACAAGTATGTCCAAAAGTTCCGAAAAGTCAATTCAAGAGAACTTAAAACACGACTCAATTCTCTACAAGACCAGTTGGATTTTGAATTAAACTTGAAAAGTAAACTCAAGAAAATGAATAAGAATGTGGAGAGCCAACAAGAGTGGTTCAAGGGTCCTATAAAGAATATGAACTACACCGAGGCTTCAATGTTGAAGGAGGGATTGGAAAATCTGCTTTTGAAGGTGAAGAACTATGGTACTGAGCGTTGTTATGGTTACGAAAATGGAAAGTGGAAGGTTGTATAAAATCTACTACTAGTTTTTTATTTTATTATAATAATCGTTCCTGTTATTTATTTTTAAAGGTTAACCTTCGTGCAACCATAAAAGTTATCTCCGTATTAAAAGTACGGGGGGGGGGGGGGGAGTGAATTGATTATTTTTAATAACTTTTATAAGTAGTTGACTAGTTTACCAATTAGTCGACTAGAAATAAGAACATGTTAATAGTAAATGCAAGAAATAAAGATATCAGAATTTTTATTGTCACGCCCCGACTTCGGGAGGCGCGACCGGCGGTCAATCGAGTGAACCCAATAGAGCAAGCCTTACCCAAACACTTTCTACCCAATTCAATACGATTAAGGGGTCCGATTCCTTTTAGTTTAATTAGACAATAAAAAGGGGTTGTACATTCTACATGGATATCTTATTTTATAACACAACCTTAAACCGTAGTTAGGCCTCCAAGATTTCATACAGTTATAGTTTAGAGAAAGCAAGAGTACAAAGTTACAACATTGTTTGTTGACCTATCCAATACCCGTACATAACCCCCACAAACGTCTACGGAGCCTCTAAGGATACAAAAGACAATGATGACAACGCCGGCAACAAGGCCCCGGCTATACCTCAAAATGGATATCGATCACAAAAGGTGTACAACATAACCCCTTGATGGAGGAAGGGGCTCACCAACATTCTTGAGAAAAGGATGCTCCGCTACACACGATCGGCATTATCTGCTATGGAGCCACCTACATTCATTTAAAAATATAGCGCCCCCGGCAAAAGGGACGTTAGTACCATGGAATAGTACTAGTATGTATAACTAAATACCATCCTGTTAGAAAGAACAACCATACAAGAGTAAAGAGGAAATAGTAAAAGCAACAAAGTTTCAAATAAGCACCATGCCAACAATATAAGGAGGTTCTCATGATTTTTCACATATTTTCTGAAATTTCAGATTGGAGTATCCCCCACCTTTACATCACTATCCATATTACCACCGCTTCCGTGAGCGGAGTCCGATCACGGCCCGATCAGCTAAGCCGTCTCCCCGAGACGTTACCATTATATCATTATTCACTTTCCAAATTCAATCATCAATACATTACCACCATGTGTATATACATCATGGCGTCCGATCACGGCTCGATCGGCTAAGCCGTCTCCCCGAGACGTTACCATTTTCCGTTATCCATCTCATACCAATCTTTGGTTACACATGTATTAGTTTACCGACACTTAGGGCCACATTTTCCACATTCCATAACTCACGTTTCACATTTGTTCTCATTTTCAACATTTACCTTGCCACTTAGGTTATAAGCATATACAAATGCAATTTAAGTCATAAGCATAGAGGGGAATTCGTTAAGTTTGGCATATTAGTCCCAAAGTAACCTTGGCGTGACAGTTAGGCATTTAGCACATAAATCATGTTCTTCATGCATCTTCCATTTACAAGAATAACACATTAAACATCTAAAGAATTACTTACCACTTATGTTTTCACAACATCAATTCACTTAACATAACAGATACTGCATTAATCACGTTTCGAACTTACAACACTTGCATGGGTACCATGGAAGCTCAATTCTAAGAGGAGGGAGTTTTAACCATACATACCTTAGTAACGCTTTCCTTAATTCTTACAAAATTCCAAGACTCTTAGCACCTCAATCTATGGTATAAGAATTACAAATCGAATGAAGAATTAGAGACGAGATTAAGATTTTAGCTTGTTTGAGCATATTATCAAACATTAAAGGTGAATTGTGATCTTAGGCCCCTTTTTAAAGGAAACTTCTTTAATATTATACCCCGATTGCTGTCTCTTTAGCTTTCAACCTCCCCCATAACCCATTATCTCTTGTGCATGCAAGATTACTAGCCTTAAACCCATGTACCAACTTGCTAATTACCTATTTTAACAGAATTTTTGAGATTATTGATGAGGGTACAGTTCTTACCTCTTAGGATGAAGACCTAGTAACTTCAATTGACAATCTTCAAGGATTTGGGGCAATGATTTAGAGAGAACTTGATGAAGATTACTCCCTCTCACTCTAGAACACCCTCTCTCTCTCTCTCTCTCTATTTCTTGAAAATAATAGAAAAATGATCTATTAGGGTGTTTTTAATGTGATGGAGTCAGATTTTAAAAATTAGAAAATAGGAGCCCCGAGTTAGATATGCGATCGCATTTGCGATCGCAAAGTTGACATGCGGCCCGCATAATGGACCGCAAAAATGCTCCCCAATACCTGAACACACTGTCTGGGTATGCAGCAGAAATGCGGTCCGCATACCCATTCTGCGGTCGCATAATGCACCGTAGAACTGCAACTTACAAAATCCCAAAGGAATTATGCGACGACTATGCGGTCTGCATATCGGTTACGCGATCGTATAATTGACCGCATTGGTGACCTCAAATTTGACCAACACACTGACTCACTCTGCGGCGACTATGCGGTCCGCATACCTGATATGCGGCCGCATTCTCGGACGCAGAATCGCACTTTCTGGAAAACATTATTTTTTTACTTTTTAATGCATAGATCAGTCCAAAAGGGTCCGAACCACGGCGAGAAAGCTTGCCGCGAAGAATTTTACGCATCTCTAACACATATTCCTGATTTAGCACTACGAGCTTTCGGGTATAGAGTAAAAATCTTGCACGGGCCTCACATTTATACTGGTTTGGATTCAATGTGAATCTTAGTCCAGTCCCCCTGGGTTACAAGGGCGTTCTCTTTTAGTGATCGATTTTTTTGAGTACAGAGTGAATGGTGTAGTTTTAGACCAACTGCTTAGTCTCTATGTCTCTTTTCTTTTCTTGATACAACGCCTCACTGGTGTTTCTCTCTGTTTCTTCTCTCACTAATTACACAGCAGATCTAAAGGAACTATAATGTTTGTTTGTAGTAGAACAAAAAGTGAGTAGATGGTTTGATCAAATTATGTCATTTCACGTCCGGAACGTCTGTATATATATACTTTCCATGAGGCTTTCAAGAATCTTGAGAGACTGCAAACCCAAGGGAGTTGTTCCTTGAAAGGAATCAAAAAATTAATTCTTTCCAAGAAAAAGGTTAAGTTCCCGTTAATCTTTCTTGATTTATGGTCTTGACGAGCTTTCCATCGGCTACGCATCTCTCTGTGGTACTTGAGTCATATCCGCTGGATCCCTTGATTGATTTCCAGTGATTGTGTTTCCCTTTGATTTGAGATCTTCTAGTAATAGCTTCCCCCAGACTCTGATTGATTATCTTTGCCAGATCTCAGATGTTTCTTCCTTTTCCATCGCTGATTCCTTTCCTTGTTAGCTTCTGTCACGACCCGAAATTTCTACCATCGGGACCGTGATGGCACCTAACATCACACTCTCTAGGCAAGCCAACGTTAGAGTTTTATTACCCATTTTCCTTTACGTTTCATTGATCAAAAATTTACAAGCTAATTACACTTTAAGTTCCAATTACACAATATTTCTCATGTTGCGGCGTGCAACCCGATCCCACCATATTAGTACCAATTACACAATAAGAACAGAAATTTCATAGTTTGACTCAAAACTCTCCACAATATTTAAACCTCAAACCAAAGAAAACGGAAAGCTTGTACATTATGAAACTCACATGAATAATACTACTCAGCGAAATCAATCCAAAATATACCATAAAATACTGATAAACCAGCTTAAGCCAATAACATGTATAATGAAACTACGGGATATCTAAAACCTTCAATAACGGAGAACAATATCTAACAAGTAGCAATTAAACATGGAAGTACTAGTAGGCAGGAAAGACAATATAATAAGAACGGGAAGGAAACAGGCAAAACACATAATTTGGCGGCGCATAGGTACTCGTCACCTCACCTATGCGCCACTCATATGGATTTTCACATAGCTATTAAGTCAAGGATCCTTAATCCCATGAGTCAAAGTTAGACACAACACATAGCTCGATCCACAGGCCACTCACTGCTCAATTACCGTTTTTCCTCTAGACTCCACCTCCAAACCACTCGTATCTAGACATAATTAACTTGATAACATCAAATAGAGTTAAAGGAATCAATTTCAATACATAAATTTAGGTTTCCCAACGTTTTCCCCAAAAAATAAAAAATTGACTCCAGGTCCGCTTGGTCAAAACTCAAGGTTCGGACCAAAACCCATTCACCTATTCACCTACGAGCCCGAATATGTAATTAGTTTCGGAATTCGACCCCAAATCGAGGTCTAAATTCCCGATTTGCAACCCCAATTGTTCCAAAAACCCTAATTCTACCATGAAAGAACAAGATTTAAGACTAGGAATCTAATGCCCGAGAGCGAAAAAGAAACGCGCAAGGAAAAAATCATCACCTGCTACAGGGACTTCTCCGCTGCTTTGACAGCACCAGAGACATCGAGATCAGCTCCGCCGATTATGCCATCAAGAATGTTGGCAATAAAGCCTCCCCCTCTGAAAGGAGTACCAACCGTGGCACCGATCATCCTTTCGGAACCCCTCAGCTCCCCTGATGAGACTGGAAAGTTCTGAATAAGATCGTTCGGGTCGTCGATTTCTTCGAATAGCGACCCATGTTCTTGGAAGGCCCCGAACCCCGACCCATCAGGATCGATGCTGCTAGCAGAAGCTACATTGAATCCGGCCGTACGATCCAAAGCTACATCGACGTCCCCTTCGAGGACCTCCGGCTCCTTAGCCCTGCCGGACCCAACCGCCCCAGACTCAGCAGCTTCCAACCGGGGTGCCTGTAAATCTCTCTCGCTGGACCTCGTTCTCCTCCTCAACGGACTTCCATCATCGTCCTCCCACTCAACATCAGGGTTCAACCCAGAGGTTAGGGCAGCAGTTTCATCAGGACGAGCAGTGGCCGCCCTGTCTTTCCTTTTCTTGTTCATATCAGGCCCCAAGGCCTCCACTTCACCATCGGGGGGTGGCCTCATCTGCATATTCTGCAAGGCCTGCACCAACATAATAAACGTGATACGTCGT